TCAATTGTTGTCTAGAGATGGTAGAGGAAAATGTTCCTGAATAAAACTCGGTGATCGCTCGTTCAATTTCATCTTGTGAGCAATCAGTAGTATTAAACAATTGTGATTTAGATTCACTATTGGATGAGGATGAAGGCGTTGTCAATAACATTGTCTATATTTCAATTATAAAATTTCAACTCATAGTTGACGTATGAAAACCAATCTGGAATATAGAATATCTATTTAGTGACAGAATTAATAAAGCAGATACAATAAAACGACAAACGTTCTATCTAATTCTATTAACTATCGAGATGGGTAAGTACAATTGTTATGATACTCATATTCTAGAGTATTTTTTTACACAGATAATCGTTAAGATTTCTTCAACCAGAATTTCTTTTAAATTTAATTCAAATAAAAGAATGAGAAGTCTTAGTTAGTACGAACTTTTATCTTTAACCATTGATAAGTTCTTCCCTTTATGTTTATTTTCTTTTTTCCACGATGACAATATGCATCTTATGGTAAACGTGTTCTTTTTATTTTCTTAATAAAAAAACATTAACACAACAATAAAAAAACACACACATGTATCAGTTTATTTATGAAAAGATTTTAGTTTAGTAGTTGTGACATCTTCATCAAGTTCAATCAATTTGTTTATCATGTTTTGTAAAACTGTTGTAAATTTGTAATTTTCAGGAAAGATATAATTTGTACATAATGAGAATAAGTACCTCTGTTCTGCCACGCTTCTTATGTTTTGATGCATACATTCGTGACGATCAATGGCGATTTTTCTTAAATCCAACAGTGTTACATCAAAACCAACTTGTTGTTTCAATTCAGCTTCAACAGGTCCAATGAAATTTTGTATGGCCGGATGAGTTTGAATACGTTGATCATCCATTGGTACTGTCGTCTTTCTGTCCAAATCCAATAAATTCATAACTTCTAATTCACGATTCGACCATTCATCTAAGATAAATTCAAACATTTTAGAAACTATATATAAGGATTTTTATAAATTACCAGTAAATTTACTCCAGTTGTTCCATTTTGGATACATATGTGTAAGAATATTGTCAACATGATAAAAACGGAACAACCTTACTATTTCAAAGGCTTTAATTTTAGTATCATTTAATTTTTCATTCAGTTCCAGTTGACATAATCTTAATTCAACTTGATTAAGTTTTGATTCATATGTTTGTATTTGTCCTGCTTGAATTTCCATTTTCTTTTGTTGATCCATCAATTGATCTTTCAAAGCTTGTATTTCCAATGTTATTGCAGAAAATATTTCGTTTAGATTTTTTTTTTCATCAATATGGATGTTTAACTTGGAGACTAATTCAAATATCCATTTAGATGTATCAGTTTCATCATATTTAATTGCTTTTTCCAAAATTGGTACACAAACTAAATAAGCAGCATTTCGGTTTTTTTCTTCATTTTCATCAATTATTATCAGTTTATGTTCTTTTAAAACTTGGTAAATAGAATTAAAAATGCTGTTGTATTGATCCATTGTTAACTCTAGAAAAGTATATAAATAAAAAAATGCATTATGAAAAGCTAAATATTTTTTCAACTAAATGAATCATTCATAAGAAACTAGCCCTTCCCAATAGAGCCCTGCATTAGATGGACATGTCCATGGACGTCCACGGACATGGACAGTTTTTTCAAATTTGTCCACGGACACAGATGGACATGGACAAACTGAAAAACTTTTAAATGTTTTTCAAAGCAACAATTCGGTTGAACGCTAGTGATAAGATATTTGGCTGTAAGAAAGAAAGAACACAACAAGCGAACGAGTCTTGAATCAAAAAAGATCGATAAATTGTTATGTCTCAAACGAAATCTTTAAGTATTGAAGACAGTTGAGATTGAAGTCGAAGAAGCCGAAGTCAGTGACGATGAACAGGTCGAAGACAAGAATGAAGAATAGTAACTTTTAGTAACTCGACGACTAACAAGTATTTTTTTGAACTGTATGTTCTTTCTGTAACAGACAGACGCGTTTTTTGCTGAATATAGAAAAAGGAATGAAATTTTCATACGCAAAACTTGCCTAAAAAACGCGAACATTCCATGGACAAAATGATGGACATGGACAGAAAAAAGCTTTTGTCCATGCAGGCCTCTACTTCCCAATAGTCTATCCCAAAAAAATGAAATTTCATTGGCTGTCTGCAAGAACAAATAGAAATTCATTGAACAAGTGACAACAACAATAAGAAACAGTCCAACAAGCAAAACTGTAACTGTAGTACAGTATGATTCGTATGTTCAACATAACAAAATCTCAAGGAAAATACAAAACCCAATTAAAATTCGTCTATCGTGAAGCCATTAGAGATTAAAGAGAAAATTAAGAAGGATAGTGTTTACCGAGAAAGCGATGAATTGTTGTTTAATATACAGCAAAATCTGTCCGGTTGCAGTTTACATTTTATGAAAAGAATATATTTAACTTCATTTATTTACGAAATAGAAAACACGAAAAAATTAATAGACAAAAACACCGTATACACACATGTAGACAAAAAAACATAACAACAACAAATGCACTTAAAGCCGTGTATTTGTATCAATCAATGCTATTCAAACTTGAATGTGTTTACCTCGTGTAAAATAAAATAAACATACATGACAAAAAAAAGGTTATTCTTTTTTTTTTCAATCACATACATACGTTTTATTTTGATGAAGCAAACAAAACAGTAATTTTAATTTTGGCATAGAAAAGGAGTCGGCGACGATGCCATTACAGAACATAATCGAGTTCATATCTCGTATAAGTATTTCTGTATTCATCAGGTTTTTCCGTTTTAACAGGAATACCATTCGTTATTCCTTCAAGTTTACTACTTCTAATATCGTCAATAATACGTGGATAGGCTGCAATAAGAGAATCTTGCGCACCAATGTACAATGTATTATATACTTTCCAATAAACATCTCGAACTTTCCGTGCTGGATGAAATAAACCCTATAATGAAAATTAAAACAAAGATTTAGTTAGTTGCAAAATAGCGACAAATATGCACAAAAAAGCAGGTCAAATTAAAGGTTGTTCACGCTGTTCTAGTAGCATAAAGTAGTTTTGCACAGCTATTTTTTTCTATTATGAATTTTTAATATTATTTACCTGCAAAGTGTAATAAAGTAATTTGCCTGGTCTCAGACCTACTCTTAAACCTTCACACGCTGAGATAAATGCTTGGATAACATGTGGCAATGTTTCAAATATATTTGGCCATACATAACTTAATAAATGTGCCAATGCATCTTCGCAACCAAAACCATAAACTCCAAGTGACATATGTCCTGTGGCTGACATTGCTGTTTGACGGTGAACCAAATCACTAGAGAGAAAAATAAGTACATAACAGACCTGTTAAATGAATAAACTATTACTATTCATTACAAAATATAATGATCGTGAATGTTTTTCTTAATAACTTTTAATAGAGAACAAAAAGAATGGTGAAACTCAACTATTTGATGGCAAAATATATTTGCCGTTTTTCATTGAGCAGATAAATAACTCAATATCGCTTATTTTTCTTCAATTAGATTCTCACCAGGCTCTTTCAATTTTTTTGAAAAGAAACATTGCCATAACATTTAAAATACCAATAACCCATGTTTCCATTCTATACCAACGTTCTCCCAATATGTCCTAAATCTTCCAGGAGAACGGAAGCCATCTAAGAACGACGATAGATGCAGAGCTTGTGTTTATGTGAGTAAGTGAAGAATACGGTGATAGTTCAAACTCATCTATTGGGAGTTAAAAATTTATCATGTCTTGTTTCAGTAACAATCTACTCTTTCATAGAGTAACAAGACATGTTACTAGAAGGTAGTGCTTTTGATTTAAACTTTTCAGGTGGTTTATGCGTTTAGGTATTGGTTACTGAGTGGCGAAAATCGCAGATTTATAGCTTTTTTCTATCAAAAGTTACACGAAAAATTCTCACGACCACTATATTTTAAACTAGGCAGTGAAAATTTACCGATCTATAAGAGCATCTTCAAGTAATGATGTTACAGCATAAATATAATCTTTTCCCATTTCAACAATATATTCAAACATAAATGATAATGCTTTTAGAACATCATTTTGTACATTTAATTCAGGTACACGATATTCATTCATCAGACCTAATATAAAAAACATAAACGATTAAGAGTACCCAATTTAAGGTAGTTGCTTATGTTGAGAAGAAATAATTTTCATTTATAAGCTTACCCGGCAAAACCGTAAACGGTGAACACGTTTCAGCTACTATAGCTATAGCAACCGTTGTACAAACTCTCAACTGTCTCTCTTGCACTTTTAAATTGTTCAACAATGTTGCCAAAACATCGTGGGGTCCAATGGCTTTTGCTATATAACCAAATGTATTTTGCAGCTGCACGTCTGATAGCTTTTTTATGTGCTTTTAAGAATTCTAATAACTCGAAACAGATACGCATCCATTCTCGTGCGGCTACATGTTCAGCTCCCAATTCGGCTATTCGTCCAACTAGATCAATACAATTTTCTTGTACTTTTTCATGTCTGAAATAGAGAAACACTGCCGATAATAGTTCAGATTTAGAAAAAAAAGAAGAGAACAATATACCTGTTTTTCAATATTGGTGTCAAACGTGGTAATAAATCTTTAATTGGCGGTGTCATATTTGTTATACCAATAACATTCACAATACCTTTCAGTGCACCCAAAATACTACCCAATACTTCTGGATACTCTTCACCAAGATATTCATACAATACAAGACCCAATAGACCCATTAATTTTTCCTCAGTACAAAGTTTCATTACATTAACTATTTTTGCTATAAGATCAACTGCTTGTTGTCGTACTTTGGCCGCTTTATTATTCAATCGCCACAATACTGTGCCACATCCCTGTAGTAAATATGGTTTACAACGTTTTCCTAATGTATTTACAACAACACCAAAACCATTTAATATCACCGAATCTTCTGTTGTCTGTTCTTGAAATGCATAGAGAATACCATCAATCAGTTGTTCTTCTAAACGTGAATGTATATCATGTGAGCCCAAATTGGTCATTATTTTTTCTATCGTTTCCATAACCATTTTACGATACTGTTCAGATTCATCTTTTAAATCATCAACAATACGATTAATAATTTCCGATGAGCCAACTTTATTTGCTATTTCTACAGTTGTATCAACTAATTGACGATAATTTCGACGATCTAATGCCATACGTTGATTCCAAAAATGTTTAAAAAATGATGGTAAAATATCTTCTCTGATATATTGTGCCTCAACACCATCAGTTGCACAACATTGTTTAACAACTTTTAAAACAATTTTTTTCATTTCTTCATCAGGTGATTGAAATTCACGTATCAATATTAACATTGCTTCACGAGTATAATAATTGGCGTATTCAGCATCCATCAATGGAATTAGAGAACCAATTGCCTAAATTTAAAGAACAAAATATTAGATCATACCTAAAAGACCATGAAGTAAACTTACTTTTAAAAATGCTGCCAGACCTTTTCCACGATGTTGTTTAATACCTTTCCACAATGGTTTTAAGACCGTATCGAATGATTCAATACCATAGGGGGTTGCTGCTTCAGCTAAGGCCGCTATAGCCAAAGCTGTGATTGTTCGAACTTTTTGTTGTTCGTCTTCCAACCCTACAAGACAAGAAGTGACAAGATTTCATTCAGTTTGTTAAATTGAATGCTTTTCGTACGAACCATGTTCAGTAATTTCCACTAATGATTTCAAACGTGGCAGTATAGCACATCCCATTAATATAGCAATTTGTTGCACAATTTTGACACCGGTATGGCGTGCTTGCCATGACTTTTTACTTTTACAAACGGCTTTCAAAAATGGTAACAAAGCTGGAATGCCTAATGCAGATGCTACAACAGCAAATGCACACGCTGTCGTGTTACGAACATATTCATCTAAATTATCAATGTCGGGACGCATCGTTGACATCATTGTCGCTAAACCAGCGGCCTAAAAGCATATCGTTTAGAAAACATGATGATCTTTATTCTATTAGGTTTTCCGCTACTTGCTACCGTGTCTAAATCTGACTGAGTGAGTATGGACATATTTTAAAATAAAATTAGTCTTACTTTCGTTAAATTGGATATAATTTCTCTTCCTTCGGCACGTGCATAATAATCTTCATCAATTAATGGTGGTTCAATAACGACAAGTATTTTCAAACATAGAAAAACTAACATACACACACATGTATCAGTTTATTTATGAAAAGATTTTAGTTTAGTAGTTGTGACATCTTCATCAAGTTCAATCAATTTGTTTATCATGTTTTGTAAAACTGTTGTAAATTTGTAATTTTCAGGAAAAATATAATTTGTACATAATGAGAATAAGTACCTCTGCTCTGCCACGCTTCTTATGTTTTGATGCGTACATTCGTGACGATCAATGGCGATTTTTCTTAAATCCAACAGTCTTACAGAGAAATACGATATTTATAGACAGAATGGACCGTTTTTTTATTTTTAAAATTCGAAATGTAAATGGTTGATATTGATTCAGATATATGCTTGACTTTGCTTTCACTTGCTTCATCAATCATTAGAAACACTGCTAGTTAATAACTAAAATAATTGTGTGAGATAAGGTATCCTAACAGGTACCGCAGTCACACAGGTAAGATAATTAATAGTAAGCAAACAAAACACTTATTGAAACATTTAAAGTTAAAGTTTCAATCATTAATCTGGACCGTTCACTTGTGTTTATTTGATTAACAGCTAGATATCCGCATCCACAACAAACATATAAAAATAAGAGCAACATTCTATTTTAAATAAACAAGTAGAGCATGTTATACTTGAGAATAGTCATCTTTTAAATTCTCTTTAATTACACAAAGGAGGAGAAACTGTTTCTGTAAGATAATGGCCCAATATGATCGAAAATGACTGGAAATACTTCCTATTTCACCTTTGGCTTTCAAAAAGTATTCGTAGTCTCCTCGAAAAAAAATCTCTTATTATTTTTCGTCATCATTTTGATAAAGGTCATTCATTTTCTTCCTCAAAGTCTTCGTATAATTTCAAAGTCCTTGACCAAAACTCATACACAGAAAGATAAATAATTTTTCATGCTTCAAAATGAGCTATAAATAAGCCTTTCAAAAATATGTCCATATACGACAATTGGCTTGAGTCATTATTATTACAAGTCGGTGACCTTTGATGACTCTCACTTTTCATAAATAAAACAGTCTTATGTCAAAATACTCGACAGATATCATGATTTTCACCTATCCTAACACTTTAAAGGAATACTTCTTCAACACATCTGCTCAGAACTGGAATGTTTTATATATAGGAAGACAGAATTTTCCGAGGGAGAACTTTCTTAATATCACTTGAAAGTAATATTAAGAAATACAGAGAGTGATGCTTATTTATTATAGACAAGTAAAATGAGTTTGTACAAATAGGTCGAAATTTAATGAAATAAAAAATGTATGCTATTGGTTAGTGTCAAGCCCACTCACATCATCACTCAACTTCGACAACAAAATGATTGAAACCTTGCCTATTAATACTTTTACTTTATGAGCTTCCAAAACAATGATCCATTCGTTTGAAACAACAACCTCGTAACTTTTTTTCACAAAAACAGTTCGTCACAGTCGATGTTGATGAGCAGTCTCAAAAGTAACTTTATCTGAAATATTATTTGTGATCAATACACCAATCAATGATTTTTACTGCAAATTCCTCTTCTGAATGAGTGATCAACATATGATCCATGGCTTACCCAAAAAAACTCGCTTCCTTTCGTCTATCAATTACACGCGTTGAGAGAGGCGACATTTTCGCGTTAAGTTACAAAGCTGCGTTAAGTTGAGTGATTGTTGTTAACATACGTGCAAAGATTCTTTTTAAA